TTTATATAGATTTCATATTCTAAAGTATCCCCTCGAAGAGAAGTAGTCTTTTTTCGGCTAAGCGCCTCTCTGTATTTAAGAGGCTTGTGTTGTTTCCCCCATCTGTAAACAAATGGGGGGGGATTTTACTTCGTTCCAGTGTTTTTGTGATTGTGTCTAATGGTGGAAATTGCTGCTCATTCCTGCAAAGTCAGTCTGTTTTATTCGCTTTATCTTTATTTATTCTTGCATCCTGGATTTTAGGGGTAGAGAAGGTTGTTTTACCCAAATTGCCAAAAGTTGTGCTCATACTTGTTTTGGATTTGTTTTATAATTTAACGTTGAGCAGTATTCCTTCCACGATTCTTATTCTGCGATGAATATGACATTTTTGGTAGGTTTTTGTTAACTTTTAATTATAGGTTAAGAAGGTCTGAGTCTGCTTGGTGTGTTTAAACTTGTTTAGGTTTTTTTCTTCTATTTTACTGCCTGATAATATTTTTCATTCCACCATGGGGCTGACTGTTTAGCACCTCCCATTTTTGGCATGCTTTGCTCAGCCGAAAAGGACAGGTCTTCAACAATATTTTTGTTGACCCTTCTTTGTTTTCGACGTGAAGTTCATCAATTGCACTCTTAAATACACTCAGTTTGTTAACAGAGATAGCCCAGTAATTCGTTTATTAAATTTAGTTGTATTTGTTTGACACAGTGGAGATCTAAATAATAGTGTTCAACATGATTGTAGTAACTTTGGTTTAACCAGTCTTCGAAATTCGGAAATATTAGAGAATCTGGACCAGAAATTCTTACATCTACAGCCACAAAGAACAGTGAACTTAAGCACCTAATATGTGAATATTATTTCTAGATGGCGCAGACGAAACAAACAAAATCTACCATGATGTTGAAATTGTGGATTCTACACCTGTAAAACAACAACCAAGCAAAATTGACTGATGTTCTCTGTGTATTCTCATGCCACGCGAGATCGACTCTACCATTATAAAGTAATGACATTTGGTTTGAAATATTCTCCCTCAACATTCCAGCATTTTGTTTACATGGTAATATCTGGTATAGATATATGTGATGCATACATCGACGACATCATTATATACAGCGACAGTAAAAAGCAACTGATGCGAATTTTGGCTATGGCAGGATATTATCGGAAATTTTGCTCAAAGTTTAAACTAATTGTTGAGCCCTTGACTAATTAATGGAGTAAAAAATTCAAAGTTTTGTTTGTGTGACAAATCTGAGGCATTTGATAAAAAAGTCATGCTTAAAATTGCATAAGTTATTTCAGCTCCAGATTTCATCCATTTATTTAATGTGTCTTTTAATGCAAGCGATGTAGAGCTTCGTGGCACATTAATTCCAGAAAGGAGTGGTTCATCCAAAGTGCTATTTCTCTTCAACATTAAACAAGTACCATATACATTATTCCACTATGAGAAGGAGTGCTTAGCCTTAATTTCGCCTTTATAAAACTTTTAATTTTATATTAGTTACCCCTTCTCCGATTATAGTATTAAATGGACACAGCCTTCATACTTTCATCAACAAAATGAAAAACAAAAATCAGGGAATGTTGAGATTGAGTTGATGTTGCAAGGATCATCGATGTTAGGCAAATCAAGGGAAGACAACTGCAGATGCACTTTCACGTGTAAAGAAAGCTCTATATTGTTTTATTTTTATATTATTTATAAGATATCTTGCTCTGTAATTTTATTATTAAATAGCCTTATCCTAAAATGTTTTTCTTTATGTAAGGAGGTGTCATGTATATCTATTTGTTATATAATCTTTGATACATAACTGTACCTATACTGTATGTGAACATTTTATTAATGACTATAAATTATAGCGATCATCTGTAAAATGACATGTAGTTAATTTACTAGTATAAAATTATATTATAAGATATTAACTATTAATTAAGTATAAAATTAAGTATAAAATTATATTACGTTAGATATATTTATATTAAGATATTAAATATAAAATTATATTATAAAATATTAAGAGTACAGATTACGTAAGATATATAAATAGTTGCTGAATTAGGCGCTTATGATCAAAATTAATAATAATAATAATAATAATAATAATAATAATAATAATAATAATAATAATAATAATAATAATAGTAGTAGTAGTAGTAGTAGTAGTAGTAGTAGTAGTACTAATAATAGTAGTAGTAGTAGTAGTAGTAGTAGTAGTAGTAATACTAATAATAATAGTAATTATTATTATTATTATTAATATTATTATTATTATTATTATTAGTAGTAGTAGTAGTAGTAGTAGTAGTAGTAGTAGTAGTAGTACCTGTTGAAAGTTTATGATAAGTTCTCATTGGTTAGTGGAGTGCAATGCTGGGTAAATGGATTTTATTTGTGTATTAAAGTAGTTATTATCTAAAAGGGTTTCAAACCCAAAAGCAATAGATGTAATTCTTTTTGCCATTTCAAGGGCTGTTTGTAGGCTGCTGCTTGTATAAAAGATTCTTGAATCGGTCGAGGGGGGAAGAGCTGGATACGCACTCGATCTTCATGCTCTATGGGATCAATCAAGATTGATATGGCACAACTGTCTGTCTGTCTGTCTCCCTTGGATTAAAGTCGACGTCCACTATTAGGTCAAATGCGACTCTCTAAACTTTTCAGCGCTCACTGACACTTTAGTGTAGGCACTGCATATTGTTCAATTTCATGTCCGCAAATAGCCAGGGAGAAGAGGGATCATAATGGGATCGCATTCTATCACCGTAGGTCAGTAACTCTTCATCCAGGGAACATTGTATCCCCCTGTATTTATTTTAGAAGGAACACCACAGCTAGTGCTATCCGCAGTTTGTTAAATAACAAAGAGACTGACTTATAGAAGTAGTATAGTATCGGGTCATCCCCAAAAGTTTTGATTGCATATGCACTTCATTTATTAGTTCTATTTTAGGCTATAGTTTCATTCAATCATTGTCACCTTGTGTGGCTAGGCCCTATGGTTAGGGTTTTAATAACCTTATTTGGTCTAATTTATGTGGTGGTTTGATTATGGGAATATATTGGCTCGTGCATCTCCTTAATTATATGGAGATTGTGGAGTCGTACCTCCTTATGTTGTTGGGCGTGATAGTGTGGAATTTTACCACCTTACACTTTTATTAAGCTGGGGTCAGTTTCAAGGGACACTGCAGTGATTTTCTTGTATACCATGTATAATATTGCCAGATTATGCGGCGAGGCCTGATGGCCTGGGCTTAGGAATAACTTTATAACCTTATAATTTGGGAACACGTTAAATAAAATCTAATGACCAGGTCTTTTGTCACCTTGTGTGGCGGGACCTGGTGGCCTGCGCTTATGACCACCTTATATTACTTAATTGTTTTTTTAAGTAAGAGTTTGGATTTATTATGAAAGTTTACTAATACAAATGTATGGAGGTTTTTTTTATATATAAGAGAGTGGATTAGGATGGAAGAGTTCACTCAGTAAGTAGATTTGAGACAGATTTGTTTGCAAGTTGTAATTTAAGTCATATTATTATCATTTTTAGTGTGTTTTTGTTTTAGGTGAGACACCTAGTTCATCTTATGGTGCTTGGGGTGTCTTTCTCCACCACAGTTAGGTCCGTGCGCAATTGCGATGCTGCTCCCTATGGCCAACCTTCCTTACCTCCTCTGGCTTCCCAAACAAGATCCTTTGGCAAGGCGTTCAAAATTGCACAACCACACATCCCAAAGCAGTGATAAATTTTAGTAGTAGGCGGCAAACGCCTAAAGATTGGTACATATTCGAACATTATAAATACGCCAAATATGCAAAATTCAAACTTCAGTTATTTATTCGAAATTCACAACTCAGGCTCATTAGATAAATTGCACAGGTGGCTCACACAAAATTGATATAGGGACACCCGTAGGAAAAACTGGTCAAGATTTGACAAATAAGCCACCTAACTGAAATAAAGTTAGGTGGACAAACTTGGGGGGCGGGCATTGGTGGGTGGGAGTAGCGAGCCGGGTAGGAGAGTCGGTTGCGGTTCTGCCATTTTTCGAGCGACACGTTTTACATATTTTAGATTAGGGAAGGTCTTTTTTGGGGTCAGAGAAAACAAGGGGCCAAGCACAAAGGCCTCGCGCCCTTCCATGGGGACCGCAGTCCATGCCCGGGACTGTAAGCTCCCCCCATGGAAGAAGCGCAGCCCAGCCCGGGGCATAAAAAGTGTCAGCACTGGACACTGGTGAGCCCGGCCCCAGAATAGGGAGAGGCCACTAGCCCTTTTCAGGGCTTAAAGTCACAAAACACGAAAGTGTATACATGACTATAATCACATATGAGCATGACCTCCCCCGGCTTGGTTTATAGCCTCGAATTCTACTGTGTACACTGAGCAGTTGCCAGGCAGTCTCACCCCCATTGGATGACACATGGTACTAATTGTATTTAAAATGTGAACCAACCTAAAAATGGGTGTAAAGTATATACGGGTTTGGCTGACCATAACTGGCTAATAATGGAAATTATGTTTCAGGAAAAAAAGAATCTTTCGATACATTATCCTATTTGAAAGTGAATAAAAATAGAGACATTGGTTTATTGATGGAATTTCAGTCCTTTAATAGTCTTTAAGTTTGGAACACTCATTACTAAAATTATCACTTGACTCTTTGGTGCGAAATTGAAAGCACATGTTTCAAAAACACGTATTTTCAGAAATTGCAGCTGCTCATATCCTTTCCTCTGCACAGAAGCTGACTTCTAGGTTTCATCTATACTGATAAAGATAGGTTTCGTCATGATCACTCAAAATTTTAAGTTATTGAATTTTTAATATCATGATGTTTGCAAAGGTGTACTATGGAAACTGAATTTGTACCAAGATTCATGGAACACTCTCCCACTGTATTACCACAGCTATTGAGGTACGTCCCGGATTTTGGGGGATTTATAGCCATCTGTTTAGATTGCTATGTATCCCGGTTATCTACTTTCTATTTAGGAACCGCTCTGGTGGCCTAGTGGTTAGAACGTCCGCCTCAAATGCAGGGGGTCGTGGGTTCGATGGTCGTGAGTTCTATTCCCGGTCGATTCATTCCGGAGACTTACAAAATGGTACTAACAGCTGCCTCGCTTGACGCTCAGCATTAAGAGGTTAGTGTTAGGTCTGGTCGACCATTATGTCAGGATAATGTTAATGCTACGTGTCTACGGCATGATGCCCCAGTGCTAGACATCACTTTAAACTTCGACAATGCAGACATTTTGGCTATACGACCGAAAAATTGTTAAAGCTACGTTAAAAATCATAATCACATAAGATCACTTTCTATCTAGGAGAGAACTTTAGCCCTTATTTCTCGTGGCATTAAAGTTAATTTTCGGGGTTCATGGCTCAGGGTCAAAGCATGAGACCATTTCTGCCTGCGTAGTATCAATTTTAAATTTTTTTGGAGCTCATGGATTTCCGCTCCACCATAAAATTTAGCACCAATGTATATCTAACGAGCTTAATGCATTTCTCAATGACAGTCCAGGTCTTGGATAGAGTTCATAGTTGCGTACCTCAGTAGCGGTAGTGCCGATAGCTAGAACTTGGTATTGAATTAAAACAAAGTTGGGTTTGCAGAGGCAAAGGCCTGGCATCTATAATCAATCTTTAGCGATGTAAAGAACTATATAATGTGAGTAGTGGGTCCAGGCCCCCCAACCCAATGTTCCTTTCTAAATTCTCAAGAGGTTAAAATCTACTCCATTTCTTCCCACTAACTCAGTAGCAGTATGATGTGGTATCTCAGATTGATAAATAATTGTTTCTATCTCCTGTTTTAATAATTGAGGGGTTGAGACATTTATCAATATTATTATGAAAATGTCCCAATCCCTCACCAAACATAGGGAAACCAGAATTAATAATAGACTGTTCTATCATCGCATGTGATTAAGTTAAAATAAAACAATTTTTTGTTTCATAAAATATAAAAAGCCAAGATTTACACATTTATCAAAGTCGGCTGAAGAAACAATTATAAGTTGACGAGGCTTTTTATCAGCAACAGACATTTGTAAACAAATATCATATTAGTATGATGCGTTTATATAAAATCTTGAGGACAAACGAAATCATTAAAAATCTAGTATCAACAATCTAAAAATGCTAAACAATGAGATCTCGATCACGAAAAGCAACGTAATAACAGTCACATTGAACTTCTTGTTGAAAATCTTCTCCTGACATTCTCTTATCGAGTATAAATGACAAAGCTTGTAAAAGATAAATCTGTTATAGATTCAAAAGTAATACAATCGTTAATTGATGAAATATCATCGTTAAAATCTGATATTTCTAGCAATAATAATAAAATCAAATTGTTAAAAGATGAAATATCATCTTTAAAAAAAACCCAAAAATTTATAAAAACATCAGCAACAACAGGAGGAACAACGTTTTAAAACGATTGCGCAAACGTGAGGATAAAATCGATGGAAAAATATTTGCCGAGCATGATCTGATAATGAAGATGTTAGATGATGCTGGTTTATAAAATAATTTTAAGTAATTTTCAGTAATATTTTATCACATGAAATACCAGGAAAACCTGAACAAAATAAAAATAAATAATTTTGAGTAATTATTTTTTCTTGCTTGCTGCAATGTTCTACCACCCTAATGGATCGTAGAACGTTGTTCGATAAATTTTTCATTCTTGCCTTTGTCAAAAACTTTGTCAGTAACAAAGTTACCGCCGTTATATAAACCCAGATCATCGACAATTTGTGTCGCTGCAATTTCTTCTGGTAAAAGTGATCATTCGAGAAGTTTTTCTAATTCTGATGTTGGCTGGCATAACAAATTAAATCGATGAGTAAACTCTTCTGACAACTCGTCAGCGATCTTTACCAATGAAAATATTGTAAGATCGGTTGTTTTACAAAGGCATGGCACAATTTCATTAATAATGATTTTGAAAGAGATCTGTGACCCTGGTGGTGGCATGAAATATTTTCCACCGTTTAACACGTGAATAAATTTGTCTTAAAAAATAATTTTCACTCACAAATCTGTTGTTTTTGTTAAGAATATTTAACACAATCAGATCGTTTACGGATATAATCTGTATAGATAAGACTAAATTAATATTTAAATTTAAAAACTCATCTTTTGTTGGTGGTGTTGGTTTTATTGTAAAATATTTCGGTTTTCGCTTGTTGTAGTAAAATTGTAGCGCTCGATAATTCGATCCACCACAATCAGCACATTTTTGTGTTTCCCCATTGACATGTAAAACTGTTAAATATCCAAGGACTAAGTCTGATTTAGATCGTCTACGAGATGGTGTTGAAAAAAGTGCACTACAACGGCATCAATTACGTTTCTATCCCATACTCTAAGAATTAAAACATCCTCTTAACTTAGTGAGAAAAACAAAATTTACCAGAGATCAATCTGCTAAATCACTAATGCGAGATTATGAATCATTAACAGGTGATAGCCTTAATTATCCAAAATCTAATGTCGAACTTGATAAAATTAAAGATGATCTGAAAGTATTCGTAAAGGAAAATTTAAAATAAAAGAAATATAATCATCATTTGCAGATTTTAATAAAAGTTATAAATTTAAGTTTCCTGACAATGTCCCGTGGTATGAAATAATGATATTATCGTTATCTACTAAAAGAATCCATCAAATACATTTCACAAATCGAGCCACGAGTAAAAATGATTATTGAACTATTAGTGGTTATTCACTCATTCCACCGTAGAGGATAAATTTTCTATTGTTTATATGAAATCGAAACCACAGGTCGTACTAGTTGATGATGATATCAATGCACTCACTGATAAAATAAACCAAGAGCTCGAATCGACGAATACATATCCGGCGGATCTGTTTGGATTCTGCTTAACAAGGTTCAGTTATTGACTCTCACTCACAAATATGATCCGCTACGTATTGGAAGGTTTGTAGAATTACCGCAGGAAATAAAATATAGTCAGTGTTGTGTTAAGGTCATTAGTGATGATATGTGTATCAAATGGCATCTTCTAAGTGCATTATTTCCCGCTGAAAGAAATCCTAACATAGTCTCAAAGTGTAAGCAACATGAATCGATGTTAAAATTTAACAGGAATAACTTTCCCAACTCCAATTTCACAAAAAGCTGTTATCGAAAGCAATTACCTTGCGTTATTACCTGGTGGTGTAAACACATTTGGAGTTGATGATAATAATATATTTCCGCTGAGAATTTCACCTATTGCTAATCCTGATACGATACATTTTTTTGTTGTATAAGAAGTATTACGTGTAAATAAAAAACTTTAACAAGTTGGCTGGAAAACAATATAATAACCAAATGGGAAAGAAGTATTTTTCTTATCGCTGTTTACACGGCTTTACTAAACTGGAATGCCAGCAAAAGCATATCAATTATTGTGTCTACAATCGACGAACAACATTGCCGAAATTAGAAAATAAAATCATGTCGTTTAAAGATTATAGGATTATCGCTCCGTTCACAATCACATTATGATTTCGAGTCCGCACGAGAGCTAATTAATGACGATACTGCTGATAACTCCAGAACAAGAACAAACTTATGCATCAGCATCATGTTGTCATATTTGTGACAAACATTTTTACAACCTAATGAAATTACTCAAAAAGTACACAATCATTGCCATATCACAGGTCATTATTGAAGACCAGCGCATAACGACTGTAAACTGAAATTTCACTCACTTAGATTTATTCCTTGTATCGCCCACAATTTCATAGGATATAATGGGCATTTCATTATAAGCGCGATGGGTCATCCTAATATCAAAAGCTGTGTAAGAATAACAAAATAAAAGGTATTTCCATTAACGCTGAAAAGCTTAATATCATTTACGGTTTGTCCACTTTGATCTATTGATTCGATGCAATTTATGAACAGCTCGTTAGACGTACTAGCAAACAAAAACCAGTTTCCTTCGTTGACAGAGCACTTTAATGATCGAATGAATTTAATGAAAGAGAATGGTATATTTCCGTACGAATACCTCGATAATTTACAACGTGTCGATGAAACATCATTACCAAGCAAAGATAATTTACGTCTCGATGAAACATCATTACCAAGCAAAGATAATTTACGTCTCGATGAAACATCATTACCAAGCAAAGATAATTTACGTTTCTATGAAACATCATTACCAAGCAAAGATAAATTTTGCTCGTCGTTAAGCAACTCCGACATCACTGACGGCGAGTACAATCAGATCTGTCATGTTTGGAACATGTCTGATTGTCAAAGCACTTGATCATTATCTGGATTTATACTTGATTCAAGACACGTTACTACTCGATATGTTCCAAAGTTTTCGTCAAACGAGTATTGACAAGTATAAATTGGACCCTTGCAGGTAATTTTCATAGCCAATATTATCGTGGGATGCATTATATAAACTTACTAGCGCAGATACAGAATTAATAATTGATGGTAGCATTGATATATACCATTTCATTACAAAATCGATTCTAGGCGGAATAAGTGTTATATCAAAGAAACACGCCTTTGCCAATAACAAGTACAAAAGCGACTATAATCCTAAGAGAAATCTTGTTTTATACTGTACATTGATAAAAATGTGTTATACAATCTGGTTATGTCACAAGCTATGCCGTACTGCTATGAACGCTGGGTAACTGAAAAGAATTTCCTTGATGACCAGAGTAATCTAACATAAGATTTATCATATTATGATTACACTAATTATCTTGAAGTTAATGTTAATTAACCTGCTATGCTACACGACTCGCATAACGATTGTCCGTTTCTGTTATAGAAGATGATAATGCCCGATTCTCTATTATCGAAAGAACAATTATCAAATTGACGAGGAAAACCTTTCTCTGTTGAAAAGCTGGTGCTGAATTTGCTAAATAAAAGTAGTTATGTTTGTCCTTACAAAATCTTAAAACAACCCCTTGAAAACGGTTTGATCCTGAAGAAAATTCATCGGATATTGCGAGCTAAACAATTTCGGTGGATGTTGGACTTTATTAAGTTTAACAATGATATGTGAACTAAAGCAACATCTGATTTTGAAAAGGATTC